TAAAAATATTTTTTTGACGACTAACTCACTCTGTATATGTATCTATTTTATCGGCTGTGAAACTAACACGCCAGCATCTTGATGAACAGGGTTATGACGTTCCATGGTGGAAGAAAATTCTAGGCAAGAAGTTAACAGGCATGACTAATGGAGTTTACTATAAATGCTTTTTCCCTTTTACTTTTTTGTTCATACCAGTGCTTAACTCGAGGGTTTCGTTTTTTCTCCCCCTTTCCTTGGAACAGGTGGAAAGCTAGACGATATTACAGTGATTGTTGGGCAGGTGATAAGTTCATAAAATATTTATACCTTTTGGATTATGGCCATTGTGACACAGTTGAGAAATCTTTTGCTGGGCAGCTGCCAAAATTTTTTTTCTTTAAAATTCAGTGTACTATAAACAATGTGTTAAGAGGCAATGTCTTCAGGTACCAGACTCAATAGCAATGTGTTCCTGAAGGGCCACTTTTGTGCTTTGCTGAGCGACCCAATGTACTTTTCATCTGATGGACAAAATGCTGCTGAAAGTTGATGTGAATTATTCTTTGCACCTTAGCAATAATAAAATATGTTTATAGGCAATGCACTTTAGATAGAAGAAAAGCTGGTTGAATACACAGCCATGAGAAGAGCAATATTGGTTCCTAATGGAATAAGAACGCAAATTTGCACAATCTAAATGTATTTGACAGTATCTTCTTTACGTAAGAACAGTACACGAGTCCAATACAAATTAACCCAACCAAACCAATGCCTGAAAACAAAAATCCTTCACAAAATCAAGATGAATATAATCTTTTCGGGGAAAATGCAGAAGCACACTAGAACAAGGGAGATAATAAACATGTAAGCTATGATGGTCAAGCAAAAGAGAGTATATGAGTTTTTTCTCCACTAAGTTGAGACCCCAATGTTTTCTGTCATGGATATTGTTTATCAGCCCCGACTACGAAAAACTTAGTCAGCATCATATCATCATATTCCTAAATACCCATCAGACAAAAATGGAGTGTCACATAACAATATATAAATCAGCATGAGACGAGTAACATTCAGCAACAAGATTATCTTATATCTGGCAACGTTTTTAGAGTACATATTAAACTCAGTGGGTAATTATAATGATCAATATCTAGTCCTGAAGCAATCAGTAAATGATTAAAATTTGTGTTTAAAATACCTCTACATCTTCATGAAACCTCTAGACGACATGCCTTTAACAGGAGGAAAAGTCTGAAAGGATATCAGGGAACCCAGGACAACAAAGGAGATGGGTGACAGAACTCCTATCATCTCTACTAATAAACTTATTAGGACTGACAACAGTTTTGTACAACACAAATAAATAAATTCCAATCCGCGTGATATGTTTGCTCACTGACCCGTATTACACAGACCATCAATCTGCCAAAAAGATGCTTGTTTACCATGCTCGCTAGTCAAACTTCCTGTTCTCATTTGGATAGAGGTATCCAACCAATACAAGTCAAAAACAGACCTTACTCTTCATGGTCTCTCAGGTGTCATTGCTATTGTTGCTACCACTATCTATTTCTTGGAAGAAGGATTTTCCAGCTTCATAAGTTGACCAACAAATTGCAGCAGCAGGAGCATGGAAGAGCATCCTTGGTAACCACCCCCTCACAAGCCCCCTGTATCCATCTTTCTTTACTATTGTCCGAAGAACATCCCTAATCGAACCAGTTATGTATCTGTCACATCCACATACACCCTGCATGATAATGAGTTATATAGAGGGTATCTAATACAGTGAAAACAATCGACGGTTTTGGGCCATTGCCTCGGTGTAGTGATAAAAGTGTTAAGACTACCAATCATAAGATTGAGATTTTCAATTTAAGGGCAGCCATTTTGTAGAAATATTTCCCAAATTAGGCAATACTCAGTTCACCCTCCCAGGAACATCACTAAAGCCAAAACATAACCAAGTCAATTACATTAAGTATCCAAAGATCAAAGCAAATATATTATCCTCGAAGACCAGGGGTACACCCAACAAGTCCATCATTTAGTCTCTTGTGGAAGCTCTTGTCAACAATAATTTACTTCAATGAAGGCCACACAAAATTATCCACCAATTCAAAGAAACAAAGTTCATAACTAACTTACCAATACATCTCACACCATAACGAAGTCGGTCATCCATTATCAGCAATTGGATGGGCTTATAGATGGTTTGTATTGCCTCTACTAAGTCTCAATAATTCATTTAGATTTGATAGCTTTTCCTGAGCATTTAACTAGCAGAACCGATTGGAGCCACAAACAAATTTTATTAAAATTTGTTTGTGCTCCAATCGGTTCTGCTAGTTAAATGCTCAGGAAAAGCTATCAAATCTAAATGAATTATTGAGACTTAGTAGAGGCAATACAACCATCTATAAGCCCATCCAATTGCTGATAATGGATGACCGACTTCGTTATGGTGTGAGATGTATTGGTAAGTTAGTTATGAACTTTGTTTCTTTGAATTGGTGGATAATTTTGTGTGGCCTTCATTGAAGTAAATTATTGTTGACAAGAGCTTCCACAAGAGACTAAATGATGGACTTGTTGGGTGTACCCCTGGTCTTCGAGGATAATATATTTGCTTTGATCTTTGGATACTTAATGTAATTGACTTGGTTATGTTTTTGGCTTTAGTGATGTTCCTGGGAGGGTGAACTGAGTATTGCCTAATTTGGGAAATATTTCTACAAAATGGCTGCCCTTAAATTGAAAATCTCAATCTTATGATTGGTAGTCTTAACACTTTTATCACTACACCGAGGCAATGGCCCAAACCGTCGATTGTTTTCACTGTATTAGATACCCTCTATATAACTCATTATCATGCAGGGTGTATGTGGATGTGACAGATACATAACTGGTTCGATTAGGGATGTTCTTCGGACAATAGTAAAGAAAGATGGATACAGGGGGCTTGTGAGGGGGTGGTTACCAAGGATGCTCTTCCATGCTCCTGCTGCTGCAATTTGTTGGTCAACTTATGAAGCTGGAAAATCCTTCTTCCAAGAAATAGATAGTGGTAGCAACAATAGCAATGACACCTGAGAGACCATGAAGAGTAAGGTCTGTTTTTGACTTGTATTGGTTGGATACCTCTATCCAAATGAGAACAGGAAGTTTGACTAGCGAGCATGGTAAACAAGCATCTTTTTGGCAGATTGATGGTCTGTGTAATACGGGTCAGTGAGCAAACATATCACGCGGATTGGAATTTATTTATTTGTGTTGTACAAACTGTTGTCAGTCCTAATAAGTTTATTAGTAGAGATGATAGGAGTTCTGTCACCCATCTCCTTTGTTGTCCTGGGTTCCCTGATATCCTTTCAGACTTTTCCTCCTGTTAAAGGCATGTCGTCTAGAGGTTTCATGAAGATGTAGAGGTATTTTAAACACAAATTTTAATCATTTACTGATTGCTTCAGGACTAGATATTGATCATTATAATTACCCACTGAGTTTAATATGTACTCTAAAAACGTTGCCAGATATAAGATAATCTTGTTGCTGAATGTTACTCGTCTCATGCTGATTTATATATTGTTATGTGACACTCCATTTTTGTCTGATGGGTATTTAGGAATATGATGATATGATGCTGACTAAGTTTTTCGTAGTCGGGGCTGATAAACAATATCCATGACAGAAAACATTGGGGTCTCAACTTAGTGGAGAAAAAACTCATATACTCTCTTTTGCTTGACCATCATAGCTTACATGTTTATTATCTCCCTTGTTCTAGTGTGCTTCTGCATTTTCCCCGAAAAGATTATATTCATCTTGATTTTGTGAAGGATTTTTGTTTTCAGGCATTGGTTTGGTTGGGTTAATTTGTATTGGACTCGTGTACTGTTCTTACGTAAAGAAGATACTGTCAAATACATTTAGATTGTGCAAATTTGCGTTCTTATTCCATTAGGAACCAATATTGCTCTTCTCATGGCTGTGTATTCAACCAGCTTTTCTTCTATCTAAAGTGCATTGCCTATAAACATATTTTATTATTGCTAAGGTGCAAAGAATAATTCACATCAACTTTCAGCAGCATTTTGTCCATCAGATGAAAAGTACATTGGGTCGCTCAGCAAAGCACAAAAGTGGCCCTTCAGGAACACATTGCTATTGAGTCTGGTACCTGAAGACATTGCCTCTTAACACATTGTTTATAGTACACTGAATTTTAAAGAAAAAAATTTTGGCAGCTGCCCAGCAAAAGATTTCTCAACTGTGTCACAATGGCCATAATCCAAAAGGTATAAATATTTTATGAACTTATCACCTGCCCAACAATCACTGTAATATCGTCTAGCTTTCCACCTGTTCCAAGGAAAGGGAGAAAAAACGAAACCCTCGAGTTAAGCACTGGTATGAACAAAAAAGTAAAAGGGAAAAAGCATTTATAGTAAACTCCATTAGTCATGCCTGTTAACTTCTTGCCTAGAATTTTCTTCCACCATGGAACGTCATAACCCTGTTCATCAAGATGCTGGGCGTGTTAGTTTCACAGCCGATAAATAGATACATATACAGAGTGAGTTAGTCGTCAAA